TGGCGTTTTTGATTATCGCGTGGGCGAGTTGCAGAGTTTATTTCGTGCACCTGAGATCTAAAGAGAGTAAGAGAGATGACTGCGAGTTTGTGTTCTTATGGATGCGTTGACTCTGAGAAATTTACAACATTGTATTTAATCCAAATAGAGATTTTTCAAAACGTCTCAAAGCTACTTCTTAAACATTCAAACAACACCCCCCACCCCTCCATGACTGATACTTGACATAATTCTCATTATCTTTCTCCCTGAGACTCCATGAAAATTGTAAGAAGAATTTCCATTCGGATCACTCACCTTCCTCGCTCTCGCTCTCCTCTGTCTCAGATAAAGGCGCTGGTAGTGGTTCTCCAGAGCCAGGGAAAATCTCATCGCAATGTTTAATGAATAGCTCGATCATACCATTCACTTGACTCTGATATGCTATCATGTCCTGTTCAGACGGAATTCGTAACAGCGTTGGACCGAACACTACTGCAAGATTATGGGCGTCCATCTTGTTGGAATCACTATGCTCTGAAACTCTGCCGAGAGATATTTATAACGTTAAGCATAAAAAATTTATATTAAATTTTCCATAGGTATTCCATGTTGTGGACAGTGATTGTAGTGTAGTAGTTTCTGGAAATTTGTAAAATGCGTTGTCACGGCGGTGTGAATACTCGAACTTTTTGATGCCATACCATGGAACCGTCTAAAACATTTTATTGGGTAACGCAATTATGATGTAATTCTACCAGAAATTGTTGTGTCGTAGGCTTCCGGCATGCTGTTAGAATAACAGTTGCTGTTATTGGCAGAAACCGACTGTCTGGAAAGCTATACCGATAGAGAACTACTGTAGTATACTTGAAAGATTGTGCAATTCGAGGAGATTAGGAGGCAAAAGTGAGTTCGTGTCAGTACTGTTGTATTGCCAATTGAAGTTTCTTTTCAGTTAAAATAACTTATGACAAGTTGTTTAATAAAGAGTTTGGGTTTATGGGAGTGAAGTATTCTTTCTCCCGTTTCAATTATAAAGTAACATCCTCGATCCGATGAAAACTGCCCACTCACTGTGCTTTAAACAAAGCTTGACCTATAACACTTACAAACTAAGGAAAGAAAACAGGTACTCCATCACTCGAACCACTGACTCAGGAAGCGAATTGAGTGCAGTCACAATTTCTTTAATACCATCTTCTACTGAAGCTGACACTACAAATAAAGAAAGAATGGTACACCATAATCAATGAACGAACACATCTTTGAAGTACAAAATTCAGATTTTTCACACTAATTTTTCACAATAACATAAATCCAATATTCTAAGCAAAATCATCTGGCCTCGGTGGACTAAACACGATCATCTCGGGTAACATTGCACATTTTCCGCCCTTTGTCTGGCCCTAAAACTATTTGCCATCCTCCGAACCGGTGACAGGCTTTCCCGCCCTTAACACTAATCGCAAGATTACCCAATGTCCGTAGCGGTTTCATATTTCCCGATCTTGACGAAGGTAACATAATTTTCCATCCTAGGAACAAGTTACACATTATTCCGCCCTTGGCATTGATCGTATAATTTCGTACTGTTGGCCGGGGACGGTTTCATATCTCACGCCCTGGACACGAGTTCAGTGTTTCATAATTTCGCGCTCTTTTCAAAGGGTTAGCCTTTCCCGCGCCTGACATGAGCGGCGGTTTCTTATTTCCCGCTCTTGAAAAAGTTATGAGATTTTATTAAGAATAGAGAAAACACCTTCATTGGACAACATGACGAAATACTTACAGCTAGCTTTGATGAATTCTTGATAATGTGAACTAGGAAACAAAGGATCTTCAAGTTCCCTGAAGTAAACCCGTAGTAAACCAGCCACGGCGTTGATATCTTTCCAATGATTCAGCCCTGCTAGCGGATCACGACCTACAAAAAAGCAAAGTATCGCAAACATGATATAAACTACAAAGCGATGTATGCGTAGAGAAACTAAACGTTCGCTAATTTTCAAAACATTTACCATTTTCAAAAAGTTGTTTCATGTCGTTTATTTCCGTTGTAGATCCGGATAACCGAAATATTCCTTGATGTTCCAGCCCTACGAATACAAAAAAATAGACGATAATGTTATGTTATGACAGCATACTTCCCAGGGCAACATGCAGATATATTGAGATATCAACTAAAAATTAATGTAGGATTTTTCTAATCGCAAGTACTCACCAAACTTTTTGATAAACTTGACACAACTTTCTACGACCTCGGGAATTTCTCTTCCCGTAATCTGAAAAAATAAAGCAAATTTGGAAAAATCTATTTGACCTACAATTAAGAGCTTCTTAAGTTGATGATCAAATCTTTTATTCTCGTGACCTTTAAGTTAGACTGAGGGATGATGTTATATGGAGAAATTAAAAGTCAGTCACTCAGCATCGGTTACTTACACGAGATCTAACCCAAACTGCTGTTTTACGCCGGCAGTGGGCCTCAGAGATTCTCTAAGAGGTTTGATTTAATTAAATAAATATCCTTGACACTGTTCACAAAAACTATTATAACATAACCAAAGTAAAGCGCGCGCTCTGATTGGTCAATCCAGCGTCCACCATTTGCCCATGGGTGTACGCTGCTGACGTGAGCAAATGCAAGGACTAGTTTTAAGCCCCGTCTACACGAGCAATTTTTATGGGGCACCTGTATGTAGCAATTTTTATTTACCCATGTAGATGGCTCGACAAACATTTGTTGTTATTTTGCGTCAGTAATAAATTCGCACAGCGGAGATGCTCATGGAAAGGAAAAAAGCAAGATGGCGAAAGTCAGTGAACGTGCCAGACTTGTTGCAGCTTTAGGTGAC